TTCTGGTGCCGTGGAAGGATGCTGTGCCCATCCCAGTGCCATGGAAGGATGCTGTGCCCATCCCGTTGCCGTGGGATGCTGTGCCCATCCTGGTGCCACGGAAGGATGCTGCACTCACTGCATGTCGTTGGGGGTCAGCAGCAGCAGCGCTCGCCTCCCTTGACAAGCCGGAGCCAGCCAGCACTTTCCCCATGTCCCAGACGTGCACGGGTGGGAAGGGGGCTGCTGAGAGGAGGGGTTTGGTGAAGGCTGCTCAGTCGGATTTTGGCCCCTGCGCTGCTGATACGCACCGGTGCCGTTCGGCCTCCTGCATCTGCTTGGAGCGTGTTGCAAACCCTCAGGGGCAGTCAGGCGCTTATCATCCCGTCCCTGGTGGTGTCCCTGATGCTCCTCAGGAAGCTGAAGATGTGGGACCCACCGGTCCCTTTGGCCTCCAGCGCGGATGGGGGCTTCCCTGTGGATGGCCCAGTCTGGTCGCCCGGCTTTGCTTGCCTGGTCTTGGCTTTGGCCGCCGCAACAGTGATGTACTTGGCGATGATGGTGATGTGGTAGGACCTGAAGTCTGCCAGCGCAGAGACGCACTGGTTGAAAGCTGCGCAGAGCCGTGCGTCTCCAGAGCAGAGCACATGCTGCTTCAGGGAGGGGGCACGGTGGATCTCCTCCACAAAGGCTCTGTGGGGCGGGGGCATGTAGTCCCTCATCCTGTGCAGGAAGGCAGCTGCGAGACACCAGCAAAGGGAGAAATAAGTGCGAGTGAGCGGGTTAAAGCACCCCGATGCTCTCAGAGAGCAGCCAAACTGGAGCACTGGTGCTGGCACAGTCTGCAGGGACCTCGATGCTGGGTGGTACCCGGCAGCCTGCGCAGCCTCCCAGTCTCCTCTGTCCTGTCTTGGGGCCTCCAATTAATTGAGAAAGAAAACCCATATTAGGTCAATGCTCCCTTAGGGTGGGTCTTCCCCCTAAAAGGCAGGCTTTAGCCCTTGCTCTCAGGCTTTTGGTTTCTGGTTGCTTGGGTTTTTTTTGCTAATTTCTGATAAATGTGTTCTGTTGTGGGCCAGACTAACGCTAAGCTCTGTGAGTGGTCGAGCTAAATTACTGGCAGGGTGCTGGCACGCTGTACTCCCTCCTCTCTGTATCCATATATAACCTCAGTAAAGAGTTGACACACAAAAAGCAAAGTCTGTCCATCTGGGAATTTAGAGCAGCAAGGAAGTGCCTGCCAGAGCCTCATTTATAGACTTCCTCCCCAACGAACTGGGCAGAGCCTCATCCCAGCCAGGCTCTGCGAGGGCGAGACGAGTGCGTGTCCTGTCAACGGGCAGATCCGAGCGCAGCCGTGGGAATTGCGCTGGCTTGGTTCTTCCCTCACCCCTTATTTGCTTAGGAAAAAGGAAAAGCGTGTGACTTACTGCTCTCCTCGCTGTGGCGAATCCCCAGGAGCTCATCAAAAGCGTGAAAGACGGTGCTCTGTGCCGCGCTGCCTCCCGAGTACGCCATGGGCTCCTCCGACACTCCCTCATAGATGAGCCCGTCGGGCATCGCGGGGTTGTCCTTCCAGCTGGGGGGCAGACTGGCAGGCAGGCAGGGAGCGGGCGCGGGGGGGTGGGGAAGGGGGGAGGTCTGCCAGAAGGGACCCTGGGCTGGCAAGATTGAGTGAAACCTTCCTGACCCTGACCATGGACCTCCTCCTCCTCGCTCAGCCTTGTCAGCTGTCCTCAAATGCGAGATAAACTTGGAAATCAAAGCTTGTGTCGAGGCGCACAACGAGGTCATGGGTGTAGGGAGAAATCCTTAATTATCCCTTGCCTAGGAGCTAGGGATCGTCTGGTGGGATTGCTGCCCACCGGCGAGCACCCCGCGGAGTGGTCCCGGGACAGGCTGCCCTGTGCCACGGCTGCACCCCCATCTCCGACGGGGGTCCTGGCGTGGGCAGCTGCTGGGAGGGTGCGGGAGAGGGGAGGGGGCACTCATCTGGGCAAAGTAAAACAGCATCACGTAACATCTGAATTCCTCCACATCCCGGTGGCCGTTAGCTGGAGTCAGGTTACCCTGCAGCAGACTGAGTCGCCCAAACACTCTTCTGAGCCCCTGAAGTTTGTACTTTGGATTTTTGTCTGTTCTTGCTGCTCTTGAGACGATGTCGGCAGACAGCGCAGGACAGCCTGCCTTTATTTATTTCGGCAGAGAACAAGCCTGCAACGTGATTTCCTCCCTCTCATAAAGCTGCTCGTCCCCAGCAGGCCGAGGCACGGGGCAGTGCCGGTGCCCCCCCGCCGCCGTACACCATTAACTCACAGCCCCCGTCAGCCGGTTTTATGTGCCTGCTGTGCAAAAATGGATAAATGCTCGCTCACAAACGGAAAGAGGAGTCATAATTTCAGAGAGATAATGTGCCTGGCACAAAAATATCTCTTGACCTTCTAAAGAATGCGCCATTTCATGAAGGTTTTGGTGCTGGCTGCTAGGGCTGCTTGACTGCTGGAGCAGGTTTTGCACAAAATGCAGGGAAAAATAGGTTCATTATCAAATACCGTAATATTTTTAGCTCTCCCAGGGATGTATTTATAGTAACATTTACTAGTGGGAAGTTCTTATAAGCAGAAGGGAATTTAAAAGGAATGTTTCTCCAGGCTGATGACCATCAAGACAAGGTCAGCTTGGATAAAAAATGAGAGAAACCTAATCAGGGTGCATGGAGCCTTTTGACTTCGGAATGCTGAGATATGCTGAAGAGAAACAAAAATAGAAACCCCCTTGAGAAGCCCGGGAGCGGAGCAGTCGGGGACGCTCACAGCTCCGCAGGGAAGACGCAGGAGAGCAAACCTGCAGCACTGGGCTCTTGTGGCCCAACCAACTTTTTTCAATATTTGGAGGGGGATTGGTATTTTTAATTAACGGAATTGTAATGGAGCAACAGCAAGAGGCTTGTTATAGATGTTTCCTTAACGCACAAGGGGAGAGACCTCACTCGGCTTCGTGTGTACAGTGTGCCAAGTAGAGAGAAATTCATCTCCTGTCAAAA